GAAGACTACTAATAGTTTGAATGACTGTTCTTCTTAGCTCAATTTAAGCGAAAAATGGGTTTATCGAATTTTAAATTGACGAAATTTTGACGACAATGTTGACAATATATTTTGATATTAAGTACAGATTATAGATTTACACTGAAGAAGGCTTGGTAAGCTGAAACGTATGTAATTTATTTGAAATTGTAATAAAATATTGTTAGCTCGAAATAAGCCACGAAATTTTGTTAAAAATTTTTTAGTATATACGAGCATTAAAACCGTTTATATATTTATAAATTTAATAATTATTTTAGGTAATAAAATATTAATATTTTATTATAATTTATGTTATTTAATTAGAGTTATAATTATTTTTATTTATATAAATGTAAGGAATGAATGATTTAATATTAGTATAATAGTAGGTTGTAATTGATATTCATTATTATTAGTAATTTTAAGAGTTTGGGTATTAGGATTAATAAAATTATATCTTTAGTTTAATATGATAAATTAAAATTAATAATTTTTATTAATATATTAGAAGTTTTGGTGATATTTTTTTATTAGATGATTTAATATTATTTTATTTAATATTTGAAATTAGATTAGTACCTACATTTTTTTAAATTATTTATTGGGGTGGAAATTTAGAGCGTCTTAGTGCTGCTTATTATATGATAATATATATATTATTAATTTCTTTTCCTTTAATAATTTATATTTTTAGGATATATATATATATGGAATGACTTTAAAATTTAGTTTAATAGTATTAGTTATAGAAAAATATGAATTTTCTTTTTGAGGTTTTATGATAATTTACATAGCTTTTTTTATTAAAATACCCATTTATTTATTTCATATTTGACTTCCTAAGGCGCATGTTGAGGCTCCGGTATATGGTTCAATAATTTTAGCGGGGGTATTATTAAAAATAGGTAGTTATGGGTTAGTTCGTTTTATTGAAGTATTTTATAGAGTTAGATTGCGGTATAGTTGGGTAATTTTTAGTAGGAGGATTGTGGGTAGAATTATTGTGAGAGTTTTATGTTTAGTTCAGATTGACATAAAAAGTATGGTGGCCTATTCATCTGTAGTTCATATAAATTTAATGTTATGTAGGTTAATAACTTTTTTAAAAAGAGCATTAGTAGGGGCTTATACAGGGTGGGGAAAAAGTATGGAAGCAAACAATTATTTCCGAAACTATTCATTTTTCGACAAAATGTCTTAGACATAATTTTTATGGTATGAAAA